TGTATGGAGAAACCTCTGGTGTTTCTCTTCTATCCTGGCATCCCGAGACTTTTCCCTCTTTGAATCTTGTTCCCTGCTGTCTTTATCACTGCCCAATAAATACTATCTTTTTTTTTTTTCTGATGAAATTTTAGGTGATCAACAAAAGAATATAAGATTGATGAGAACAAGAAAATATATTTTAGAAAGTAAGAATGCCTTTCTCTGCCTCTTCACTTCCCCTCCTAATCCTTTCCACTTCTTAAAACTCTCTTATGTCCATTTGGACAGAATAATCTACCTGTATATCGGCAGACAAAACATATCTCTCTGGCTCTTTTAATTCATGTACGTTTTGAAGCACCAAATTCATTCTGTTTCCCTGAGCACGATAAACGACACCCCTCCACCCGGCCCCCAGCTGGATACTGCCAGACCTGCTCCCATTTGCTGAATGCTCCCACCTGCACCATTTGAAAGCAGGGAGGACTAGAATACAGTCACTAATATTTCCTGTATTCATCTCCCCATCGTGAACAGAAAATGGCTTACATTTTGATTTCATCAGTATCCTAGAGTTCTGGTGGGATGTGGAGTCTCCCTGAATGAGAAGAATTATGCTATAAATGCAGATTAAAAAAAAAGACCCTGAAACAAAAGCATTTCCTGTAGTCTGCATTAAATAATCCTTCTCCATTGCTCAGCCCAGCAGATACAAGCCTATTTGAGCAAGCTTAAAAATGTTTATCCTATTGCCTTTCTCTTTTCTCCTTGGAATTCCTTCCATAACATTTTCTTTTCCCTTCCCATGCTCCCTCCCTTCTCTCCTTCCTTTCTTAATTAGAATGCGAGTTGAGGTATCAAATGTTTCACTTTAGTGCTGGGTCTGCAACAACTCGATGGTTTCTATTTTCATCTTTTTACTTTGAGCCACACATGGGCTGCCAAGGATGTGCCCTTTCTACATGACCTGGCAGCTCTTCCCGGCCTCGTGCTTTTCCTAGCAGGCTGGCTGCCTTCTTTAGGGAAGGAGGAAAATGGAATCAGAAGGAAGAGACCATGGACATCACTTTTCCCTCTGCCCATTCCTTTCTTCCCCCTAGACTTCCATTCAAACATTAGCAGAGCACCTGATGGTGTCAGGCCCAAGAGAGACCCTAACTCAGGCACAAGGCATCCAACAATGAAAAAAAGGGTCCTTGCTCACAAGGGACTGCCCTCTGTGACCTCAGACCAACTAAGCTCTCCTCAGTTGACATGATAAAATTGAAACCGAGTCAGTTGATTTATTGGGAAGTCTTTCTGTTTCAAGAGCTATGATATTTAAGAAATGTTTTAATGAACAATTTCTCTTTACATTTTTTAAAATACACGACAGCAGAATGCGTTACAATTCTTATTACACATATAGAGCACAATTTTTCATATCTCTGGTTGTATATAAAGTATATTCACACCAATTCGTGTCTTTATACCTGTACTTTGGATAGTAATGATCATTATATTCCACCATCATTAATAACCCCATGCCCCTTCCCTTCCCCTCCAACCCCTCTGCTCTATCTAGAGTTCGCCTATTCCTCCCATGCTCCCCCTCCCTATCCCACTATGAATCAGTCTCCTTATATCAAAGAAAACATTTGGCATTTTTTTTTTTGTCGCGGGGGATGGGGGTTTGGCTAACTTCACTTAGCATTATGTTCTCTGTCTCCACCCATTTACCTGCAAATCTTAACATGTGTTTGGGTCTTTCTCTTCTGTCAATCAGTACACGTTCCAAGAAGGTATTTAATTATCAATACAAATAAATAGTTAAAACATGAAACACTATGTATTTTTTAAGAATGCTGCTTACAAAAGCTTTTCATGTCATGGAAAAATATGTACATTATGATGTCCCAAAAATATACAGGCAGGGAAGACAGGCATTAAATGACATATTAAGTTACTTGTTAACAATAAACTATTTACAGTGGTTATCCTTAAATGGTAGAATTACAAATGCTTATTTTTTTTTCCCTGTTGGGGATTGAACTCAGGTCTTGAGAGTTTTAGTCACACACTCCATCACTGAGCTCTACCCTCACCCACAAGTGTTTAAATTTTTCTGTTATTTCCTTTATTTTTCAAAATAAAACCATAATTATTTTTCTATAATAAAATGAATAAAGTAATTTTAAAGATAAATAGAAATGACTATTTTTGTGCAAAAATATTAGCATGTATACCAAAGTTAGATGTGAATAATTTTTAAAATACGTTTTGCCTGAAATTTCAGAGTCCCAGCTCATGTAAGTGGTTAGATTCTGGTAACTTTCTAAAGGATAACATCTCCCCACCCCACCACCAAAAAAAACCAAACCAGTAATTTTATTATGCTCACCAAAGTGTGGGTTAGGGACTCGGGTATGGTTGGGGTAACAATCTTAATATGCCTATTTTAGAAAAATCTGAAAGCACTGAGAAGGGAAAAGGGAAGACCTACACAACTGTTCCATCCATACAAGGCTTTATTTAGGGACTTGCATTTATTGGAAAGGTGAAAGTGCAGGTCACCGAGAGGTTATTTCAGGAAAAAGCTCTGCAGATGATTTTGTCACTCTGAACAGGTGCTATGATGTGTTTGTTCAGATATGACTTGGGATATCAGATCACAAACAGGAAGGCAGCAAATGCCAATGGGTGTGAGTAAAACAGCTGAAAGAGAAGGCACTGCCTCCATGTATGGAAGCAGAAACCCCAGAAGAAATGAAAGGTCTGGCTGCTGGTTGGTGTCATGGAAGCCCATTCATTTCGCACAATGGAGGATGTTGGCATAAAGAAAATGCAGAAATGACCAGTAGCTGAGAAAGCGTAGCATCCACTCTTGTTTCTGGAGAGGAGAAGGCATTTGACCTTTTCTTGCTTAATCACCTTAGGTCATTTTGTAACTTGGCATTCAGAAATTTAGACACTAAAAGAAAGATTGCTTCTGGACTTCCAGAAGTTGTTGGCAAGACTCTCCATGTGTCAGTCACGACCACCAAGAAAGATTCAAGAGAGGGGAAAACCTATTTTCAGCTTCTTGAGCCTCTAGAAGTAACAAGGGAAGATTTCTTATATAGCCACAAAGTGTGGTCCTCTGACCAGCAGCACTGGTACCCCTTGGGACCTTGTTAGAAATGTAGAATCTGGACCCTCCCCCAAATACACTGAAGGGGGATTTCCATTTTAACAAGATCCCCTGTTGTGATTTGTATATAAGATAAAGTCTGAGAGATACCTTATAATAGGTGTGCAACATACAAGCCAAATTTTAAGCACTTCTGAATTTTTCTGCATCCTATTTTCAAATATATTGAAAATAAAAATTCTTTAATGTGGACAAAAGATTCATCCTCCAGGTAAAATCTCTGTGTGTGTGTGTGTGTGTGTGTGTGTGTGTGTGTGTGTCTCCGGTTAAGGTAATCAGAAGCAACTTGGCACTTATAATTTCCTTTTCACACCTAATTTACACAGGCTAGCATTTTTCAGCTGTCCAAATTTTCTCAACTCCTATGGTTTTCCTGCAACTCTAAGCAAATTTTATTTTTAAAGGGGATATTTCTTGCCACAATCTTGTAAAAATTTTGCTTCCTACTTTGTACTTTAAAAAAAAAATTTTTTTTTTTAGTTGTAGGTAGACACAATACCTTTATTTTATTTATTTATATGTGGTGCTGAGGATCAAACCCAGGGCCTCACACGAGTTAGGCAAGCACTCTACTGCTGAGCTGCAACCCCAGCTCCTAACTTTGTACTTTTAATAATGAGACTTCTCTTTGATACACGGAGGAAGGTGCTCTGGTTTCCATGCTGAAAATGTGCTGGCAATATGTAAACTGTCCATGAATCTGCCTATGAGAACCTGACCTGTGGGGGCAGAGAAGGAGCTCAGATGGCACCAACCCCACCATCCCCACAGGGCTGTCCTTGCCTTCATAAATTTCTCTTCATACATGAATGACCAGATTTCCAGTCCCACTGATTACATCATAGATTTAACAGTATCTGGGAAACCTGCCCATCAATTTACCCTTGACCATTGAAGGAAACAGGAAAAAGGTCAGAGTACTTTGAGGGAAAACTTAAGAGATAAATTCAAAGTAACACTTAATGTGCTTTTATGGTTTTTATTACTGAAAAACATTGTAAGTGTCCTCTAAACAACTGGATTAAACAAAAGACAGAGGTCAAGGGAAATCCCAGGCTGGACCTAGAAAGAATCCTCTCCAAGAGTTCACTCTTACCTGATTGTCGAACCCGTTGAAGAGTTTGCTGGACCAGAACCTCTGATCTTGGGACGATGATGATGAAGTCTACTTTGCTGAAGTGGCCGAGGTCCAGGCTCTGGCTGCCACTGTCTGCAATAGCACACACCTGGGATAAGAGTTTTCTGGCAACCGTAAGCTGTGGTTGATAAATTTGGAAGGTTTCATTATCTAAATCTAAAATTAAAAAAAGTTATAAGAACAAGATTAATTTACTTCTGTGATGGAAGCCCATTCATTTCGCACAATGGAGGATGTTGGCATAAAGAAAATGCAGAAATGACCAGTAGCTGAGAAAGCGTAGCTTTATGAGCCATAAGGGGACATAACACACATGTTCTATTGCCAAGAATTCTCACTTGCTTTTCTCATTCACTATGAGTTTTAACAGATTTGCCTATTTCTCCCTGAAAAGCTGGCTGAGAGGTGTGCTCAGGAGTTGGATGTAGGAGTTTTGCAAATGTATTATTTTAAAATTGATGCACTGTCTTGCAAATGCCTACTTCAGTATCCTTTCCCCTGGCTCAGAGATGGTGGAGACAGACTGCACTGTCCCAGCTGGAGCCAGGATTCATCTGGAGAAAGGAGAAAGTTTCCAGTGTTTTTAGGAATCTGAGCACAGGCCAGTACCCAAGCCCAGCTCAGGGAAGGAGGTGATGCTGTAACTATGATAATGCTGAGTTCCTTTGTGCTTTTCTGAATGGCACCACGGTAAGCATTACCTCTTTAGCAAGTTCAGTTGCAACACATTCTGAAATTCCCCTCCTGGTGACCAGACAACTTCGGTCATGCAGACATGACCCTGACCTTTCTTCCCACTAGACTTAACTTTGCCAGTTCTTGTGACCTGGCAGACCTAGGTGGTGGAGTCAACGCCAGCACTGACACCAGTACTATCTGAAGAGACCTGACACATGACAGCCAGCTGGCCTCTAAACAGGTGATGTATTACAAAACATTGTCCAGATACTCTATGCATGTCAGCAGCTTTTTATTGCCAATTATAATCAAGCAAGTAATCTCTTATATGCACACATGCGAGCGTGCACACACACACACATTCTGAAAGAAACAAGTTTCATCAGTGAAACAGCTGAGCAGGCAAGTGCCAATTTTTTTTTTTTTTTGTATTGGGGATTGAACCCAGGGTGCTTTACCACTAAGCCACATCCCTAGGATTCCCCCTTTTTTTTCTTTAATTTTTAATCTTGAGAGAGAATCTCCATAAGTTGCTGAGGCTGGCCTTGAATTTGCACTTCTGCCTCAGCCTCCCAAGTCACTGGGATTACAGGTGTGCGTCACCACAACTAGTTGCCAAGTTTCATTTAAAGGCTGCTTTTTCTCAGGAACACATGTAGGCCCTTGGAACACAATCATAAGGCCCTAATTAACTTGTGCTCATTAATGTTTTCTAATAGCAAATTGCAATGTAGCTGAGGCAGACAGTAGTCACAATACCCTACCTACAATTGCAAGTGGAGATTGATACTGAAAGAACCCACTGCGAATTTTAATAGTAGGGTTGTGGATGTAGCTCCGTGATAATACATTGCCTACCATGCACAAGGCCCTGGGTTCAATACCCAGCACAAAAAAAAAAAATTTTTTTTTTACCCACAAAGACTACCAGTCAAAACAGGTCTACAGGCCTGTCCTTCAATGTGGTCAGACTAAAACTTCCTTTGTTCATTTCCCACGTTGGATGGGCAGGAACTAACATACACACAAATTTATAGAATTAGCAAAGTTTGCAGTTTGCTTAATTACTGTCAAACAACATTTCCTAAACGGGGAACTGAGGATATGAACTTGGGGGTCTGTAAACAACCTGAGAATTTTAAAATTCTAAACTTGTTAACTTTTTGTTAACCATTCAAAACAGTTCATGTAAACACATTTTGGATCATCTGAGTAGCTGCTTTCTTACCAAATAACATGCAGGACTCAAAACATTTTATGGTCTGTATTTGTCCTTGTCTTTTGGACTGAGCTGATGCCAAGCCAGGCTGCCTTTTATTGCCTGAGGCAGCCCTCACATAGAAACCCAGGGGAGGCCAACTCCCTGTCAACAGCATCTGATGAGGGTGTTTCCTTTCATTCTTCCTCTAACTCTTTTTCCTGTCTTTTTCTGTGTTGTCCCTGTCAATCAGTGAATTGGGGGAAGGAATTTAACCTGAAGGAATTCAATCTAATGACCCACGGCCTTGTCCCAGACCCACAGTCCCCCCTCGGGCCCCACTGGCAAGGCAGCTGACGGTGCTGGTACTGCTGCTGCCTTCCAGGAAGGCCTCCCTCTCCCTGAGATAATGTGGGTTTTACAAGTTAGAGGAGAAGTGAAGGAGCAGGAGCCAGGGGCCCTGCACAACCTGCAGTCTAGTTTCTTTCAAGCCGCTCTTTGAAGCCCTCAGCAAGTACAGCAACTCCCTGGGCACAGCTGGTAAAAACACTGAGGATCCCGGAATCTTCCAAGGAAAAAAAGAGACTATTTGGGGATAAAGTATTTGGTTTTAATTTTAAGAAAGTTTTACTAAGAACAAGGCCTTTGATCCAGGCCACGCCGGGGTAAGGCATTTTTAATTTGAACCTGATTTGCCATGTAGACAATGAGGAAAAAGCCCTTTCATGGTTGATGAGATTTGAGAATGCCTCAACACCCTGAGTGCGTGAGCTTCGGTAATGTCTGTCCCAAGGACTGACTCCCTCCTCAGCCTGAAGTGACATTACCCAGATTTTGTGTGGGAATCATAGCAGCAGCCTCCTGAGGCGACACACATTCATTAAGATCCCCATTGAAAGGGGTGACCACACTGTCTCCTCTTCTTTGTTGCATTTTTTCTAGCAGCTTGTCCAGGTCATCACCTATGTCAAAAATAAAGTGGAGATAAGAAGGTTACAAGAAGTGAAAGGCTTGTATGGTTTTCTTTATCTGTCTCCCAAATTGGGTCATTAAGATTTGTGGGTCAGCCAGCAATTTGTGTCAGAGTTTATACTTGGCCATCTCTCCATGGAGTCTTTACAGCAAGAGCTGCCCTCCTTGGTATTTACCTTGTGGGTGTCCTGCTTACAACTGACATGCTTTCTTAGGTTGTATCTCTCTTGACTTCCATAATATTCAAAAGCAGGAAGAATGGGATTATTCTGTCTCCACATGACAGATCGGAAAACTTGAGATCCAGGGAGAGAGAGACTTGCCCAAGGTCACTCAACAAAGTCATGGCTGAGCTGAGGCTTTGATTTTAGTACTGACTGTCCTTTCTCTGGACCCCATGCTGCTTCCTGTGGTGTTAGTCACAAAATACTGAGGATAAACCATTCCAACTGAAAGATCAGCTGGCAAGCTTAAGCTCCATCCTCATCTTGACAGGCTAAGATTTAAATCCAATCACACGGCAAGGGGCTGGCAGCATGGCCGAATCTTACCACCACTCACCTAATGACGTGGTTTTGAAATGTGATGCCAGGAAACTGACCTTTCCTGTGATGAGCTCATAACTAATTTCTTTCAAAAACTCACTTGTGGTGAGCATGCTCTCTGCCAGAGCCCGGGACTGATGCTGACCTGAAGAACAGAGGACAAGAGATGACTCATCAATGGGACAAATGATGATCACTGGAACATTACTTAAAATAGCCACAATGGGAAACAACTAAAGCGTTCACTATAGGGACTTGGGATAAGAAAGTCACGGTAATGTAAAAAGATGTGGACAATTCAGCAGCATTTGAAATGTCACTCCGAGGACTACAGATAGCCTCAGAAATGTTTATAATATGATACTAAGTGCTGTTGGGATAAAATGATGTACTTTATGTTTATCACTGTGAAAATGTACATATGCATGCATTTAAAGACGAGGGAAGAATATGGAGAAACCTTATAAAACTGTGTGTTTGCATAGTTGTAATAAACATTTGTCTTAAAATATAAACTTCCATTATTCTTGCAAATGAAAATGAAAAAAAAAAAGAATATATCACGCTGCCCGGTGAAGCTTTCAAAAAATACATATAACACAGAAGATAGACAGGGACAGGTTTTGCCAAAGTGAGGGCGCTTAGCCACTGTGGTCGAAAGAGGTGAGAGCCATTCAGTACAGAAAGGCGAGAAGCAAAGTTTAGTCCAAATGGCTACACAGGGTGGTGCCTGATTTAAAAATCAGCACAGAGGGGGGTGGAACAAAAGACTGTACATTTTGTAATGTACTAACTTTCCGAACATCTTTCGAGTTGATGTTACAAAATAGACTATTCAGGGAAGAAGGGAATGCATGAGCTAAGTTTCTGGCAGATTTAACTAACTGGCACTGACCACCTGTGGCACTGGCTTTATCACATGCTAGGGTGGTAACATTTCTAAAACCTTTTAAGGACAGAAGTTACATGAGACAAGGGTATCTGTTACTAGGGTGAGCTTTGACAGAAGGCTCCCACAGGAGCAGCTGACAGGGGCACTGGCCAAGTTGAGGGCGACAATACTTGCTCTGAGGAGAAAAGGAAAAGTTAAAATTAGTAGGAAAAATCCAAGTGGAAGCAATCAACCAGCAGCTGATCACGTCGATACCTGAAATACCCAATGACTATTTTTCAAATGGTTGGATGATTAAATGATGCATTAAACAAACGGACAAAACATGACTCACCTAACACCACTACACAAAATTCATTTCCTCTGATTTTCGATGTACAAATTGCCACAACATAATCTGGTAGCTTCTGGTAGTGTCTCATTTCACTGAGAATCCTCAGTGTCTCTGAAATGCCCTCCGCCAAAGAGTTTTGGGTCACAATCACATGAACCAGATCTTGAGACACGCTGGCAATTAATCTAGCAAGCCAGGGGAGTTGTCCTGGAGACACAGGTATACATGGAGCGCCCATCTGCAGAGCTCGCTCTCTCAGAGTAAACTCCTGCATGGCTTTCAGCATTATTTGCTCAAATTCTTCCCTGAGAGGTATCTGATCAGGACCTATAGTGAAGAGAATTACAGCTAGAATTATAAAAATCACAGGTAGGAGAGAGAAACACCCACCCATCCATGATTCTGCATTTCTCCTAAGCCTACATTTCTCCTAAGCTTGGCAAGTAAGCACCTCTTCCTACAGTGGAACCACATATAGAACCCCATACTATTTCCCATGTGTAATTTCTTTCTCTGATGGCCTCATTTAAAAAAAAAAAAGAAATTTCTGTTCTCCTTTATTCTATGTCTGATCTTCAAAACAGAATATACAAGGAGAAAGAGAGTCAATTCTATTGTATGCCCAGGGAGAGGGGCATTGCAGATAACATATTTTGCAACATATTAACCTTGGCTTTGTGGAAATTGTTAATGACCAGTATGACAAGATGCCAATATGCTTGTTTATAATCAAATTTAGGTTCCATTAATTTCTCATTTTATTCCTAGGCACTTTGAGAAAAATGTTTTCATGTATTACTTTTCTATTTAATTTTGACAATACTATCCACAGGAAAATTCATTATTTTTCATTCCAAAATTATATGTTAAACAGTCTCACACTTTCCCCAGATAGAGAATGCTTTCATCATCTAGTTATTCTCCTGCATTCTGGATTGTTAAATATGGTATTTGGCCTCTTCCACAGCCATAGTAAAAACTAAGCTTATACTGCAGACTGGTAGACCCTGGATTTCAGGGGATTTTGTTTAGAAAATTCAGTCAATCTTTAGAACAAAATAAGCAATTCAACATTTGACTTCCAAGAGACACAAATAAACTAAGAGTTCTACATTTACTTTAAATTAAAACCAGTGACAATATATTCACTCCTGGTATTCTGTCATTTCTTTTGTTGTGTGAATCTGAGATTTTTAAATGGGCTCCTGTAAGCAGACAGACTCCTAAGTGTCTGTGATATGAGACCAAGCATTAACTTCAGAACCTGGGGCTAAAATTCCCCTAGGAAAGAATATAGAGATAAGAGCCTAGACTTCTGTTTTGGAAGAAGGAAACCCTCAGAAATCATTTTTTCCTATAATGACGATTAAGTACCCTCTTGGCCCTGCCCATCTTTTCTGGGAGAATAAAAAAATGAAGGGTTTAGCAATGTTTTTTTAAAGATAAGTGAAGTTAAATAAAATATTATACATTTAAAAAATAAATAATTTAAACCAGGTGCCATGGTACATGCCTGTAATCCCAGCTACTTGGGAGGCTGAGGCAGGAGAATAGCAAGTTTAAAGACAGCCTCCACAACTTTAGTGAGACTCTGTCTCAAAATTAAAATATAAAAGGGGCTCAGGATGTAGTTCAGTGGTAAAGCACATGCCTATTGTGTATGAGACCTGGGCTCATTCATCAGTACCACCATCAAAAAAAAAGTTTAAAAAGAAAAAGTAAATGCATAATTTAAATTGGAGAATAGAAACAGTTTTTCCAGATTGGTTGGGAGCCAGGGAGAGACAGGAGAGTAGATGTTTCTCTTCTATACATAGAAACAGCAAGTAAATTGTAATGTTCACATTAGTTTGTTTCTGATGTCCTATCCAAATACTTGCTAGGGAGAGATGGATGACAGGTGATCTTTTTAAACAAACAAACAAACAAACAACAACAACAACAACAAAAAACTCCCCAAAAAAACACCCGGGAGGGCTGGAGTTGTGGTTCAGTGGTAGAGCACTTGCCTGGCATGTGTGAGGCCCTGGCTTCAATCCTCAGCATTGATATAAATAAATAAATTAAATTAAATAAGGACCCATTTACAAATAAAAAAATATTTAAAAAAACACCTGAGGGGTTCACAAGACTTATGATCTCCATTCAGCTTTATCAAACTGGCATCACAGTAGTGGTCACTAGGTACATACACAGCAGTCAACTCACAGAGGTTAGATCTGTCTAATTATATCAAATGAAGGGAAGGTGGTAATCCATTTAAAACTTCCTTCCACTAGAATATATGACAGCTCAAAAGCAGGTGGCCTTGTCTCCAATCCCCTGATGTTGCTCATTAACAACCTGAAGGCTCAGAAGCCCAGTTCATAGTTGTGTCTATAAGACCCATTCCAAACCAGGATTGAGTGGCATGTTCTATTAGAAAGCATAATTAATCTCAAATATAAAGGCATTCTAGGAAGATAAAATTATCCAGCATATTCTTTGTATCTTCAAATTCACTTTTGTGGAGTTTTGATGGAATTATCATTAGAAACTGGAGAATGAGGGAAAATTCATTCAAGTTTAAATGAGGGAAGAGACTCCTTAGAATGAAATCCTTGCTTACAATCATCAACCATCACTACTTCATCCTTGCCCTTTACAGTAGACTGCATCAGCCTTTTCTCCACTTTTTGCAGACTTGATAATTATAATGTTTTTTTCTTGAAGTCCTGGTATCTTCAGGAATTTAGTGAGTGTAGCCCGGGCTTCAGTTCTCACAGCTTTTTGGACAGAACAACCCTAATAGGAAAATACCAGGTTCCAACAGACCCAGAGCCCTCCAACAATCTCTGGTTTGCTGATTTCATTATCTACTTCAAAAGATTTCAAGATTGTGAAATATCAGAAACATTTCTTAAAAGTGACTGTAGTGGAAAGGCCTGTTCCTTCTGAAGAATCTTGCTTCTCTTCTTTGTTACCTCTAAGAAATTGGGCTACTAAAGTATCAAACACTGTCCTTTCCAAAGTGTGGATTTTTAAAAATGTCTATAATCTATGGCAGGCTGGGGTTGTAGCTCAGTGGTAGAATGCTTGCCTAGCATGCACAAGGCCCTGGGTTCCATCCCCAGCACTGCAGGAAGAAAAAAAAAAAATATATATATATATATAAATAAGAAAAGAAAAAGTATGTATAATCTGGGGCATATATGAAAATATTCTTGCTGCCTTCTCAAAACCTCTGGAGAAAAAATTATTTTGAAGGATTCTAGAACAGCTAGTTGAGAGAAAAATAAATCTTAGTGTACTAAATTTAAATTAAGAAAAAAAAAACTATTCTGGCTCACTTAAAATTTTCCTAGAAAAACTGTTTATCCAAGTACTTTATTATATCTTAATACCAGAGTATTTTTAACATAAAATGTTTATGAAAGTGCACATAAAATTTTTCACATGGAATTTTACATTTCAAACATTTTTCCAAGGAAATCAGTGGTTTGAAATCTCTGGATGAGGCAGAAAGATTGCAAGATTGCCTCAACCACTTAGTGAGACCCTCAGCAACTTAACAAGACCTCAGGAACTTAGAGATACCCCCTCTAGAATCGAAAAAGGGATGGGGATGCAGCTCACTGGTAAAGTGCTCTTAGGTTCAATCCCTAGTACACCTACAAAAAGGAAAATATGATAGGACTACATCAAAGGGGTGTAGCAGGAGGAAAAAAAATGGATGTGGGGCTGTGCATAAGCAACATAGAAAGGCTACATGAAAAAATGGAAAAGAATTGCCAAAGACAATGGCTGAGTTTGCATCTCAGATGGCAGCTGTGCTTTCAGAAAGGTGGCCTGGCCAGATTCCTCAGGAGAAGTGAGCCATAGCACAGCCCTGGAAGGATCTGCCTACATCAGAACTTTGGAGCTCTCTGGAGCATCATGAGATTGGACACTAGGTGGAGCAATTCATTTCTTTTAAGTCTCAAAGAAATAAAGGGGGGGAGAGGACAAACAATGAAAGGAAAGGGGAAGTCATAGGGGGTGGGATAGAAGGAGAAGAGTGTTAGAAGTGAAAGAAGGAAAATAAGAGATAGTGGGAGTGGTGGTGGTGAATGTGAGCAAGGAAACATTAAAATACAAAAAAGTATAAATACAGTCACTAACAAATGATCATCAAAAATAACTTACCTAGCCGCACAAGATACTGTATCGTCAGAAGGATCATGTTTTCCACGCTCAGGAGTTGGCTGCCAGTCAATCCTAATTGTTCCAAATCTTTGTTTTCCAACTGTGGAATCTTGTAGCAATTCACAAGCAGGGGACTCACAACAATGTCACCAACATTTCCATAGAAATAGGGTAAAGTGCCATAACCTGTCCCAACAGAAGCAGGTTCAGTATTTGTTTCTGGGGTCCAACCAGGACCTCAATGAGGGGCAAAGATGCTTAATGAAATTCCGTGTTCTCTGAGACAGCTAGCAGGCAAATCACTCAAATACAACCATCCTAGGAAATGCACTTGAATGCTCCAAATTCTATTTCTATATCAAATCAGATGAACACAAAGCAAAATACACAAATTGCATTATTTGTTTCCCACAGAAGGGACATGTTAATATATTTCTGCCCTAGAAGACTGATGATTTTGCAAAACATCTCTATATTATTTGTAAAACTGAGATAAAATATTTTCTGATTAAGTTCCTGACCAATATTTTTTCAGATGAGAAAACAAATAAACAGGGGCTGGGATTGTGGCTTAGCAGTAGAGCGCTCGCCTCGAAAGGGCAGGACCCAGGTTCGATCCTCAGCACACATAAAAATAAAGGCATTGTGTTATGTCCATTTACACCTAAAAAATAAATATTTTTTAAAAACCCAAATAAACAAAGAAGCTACAATAACATGTTACACTTCCTGAGGTTTGAGGGGGAAATGTAAGTTAAACTTGCTGATCAACAGCAATATTCTGCCAACAGCAAGTACTTAGAAATTCTTATTCCTTTGCTATCTTGGCAATTTTGGTTAGGTTTTCTTCCTGAATGTCAGTACACAGCTTCAAGTTATCTTAGCAGTAGATAAAATGAAAATATGCCCTGTTCTAGTGATATGGTAGCAAGGAAAATTCCTCTGAGACTTTCTAAAGAAAGGCACCAAAGGGGCCCCACACTCTCCGTATCTTTCCAAGGCTTAGTTGCACTATGCTAATATTCAATAGGAACTTCCTGACCCATGTGGAATTTAAACAACTGGATTCCCTCAATGCCTGCAGATCCAGGATTAGTGGATAGGGTAGCCTGATAAAAGTCAGGGCTTGAAGCAAAACCAAGTTGGTGGACCCAGGCCAACCACAAGAACAGATAACAATTCATGTAATCACGTTCACCTGTTTTATCCTGGAGGTAAAGCAGACAGACTCCTGGCCTGGCTAACCTTGCCCCAGCTGGGGGACTTTGGATGTGGGTATGGAAGGCATTTAATTAGTTCCGGAATTTAAGGGCCCCCTGCATTCTTTCTTTCCTTTAACTTTCTTTTAGTTGTAGATGGACACAATATCTTTATTTATTTATTTTTATGTGGTGCTGAGGATAGAACCCAGTGCCTCACATGTGCAAGGCAGGTGCTCTACCACTGAGCTACAACCCCAGATCAGCCTCTGCATTTCTATACCTCCACTTACAGATATCCTTGAAGGGCTCAGACTTTATAAAGACAGTTTATAAAGAACTGATACAGATGTAGCTCAGTAGTAGAGCACCATAGAGAACCATCCAGGCCAGAAGTAACAAGCCTAGATCATAAAGAGAGCCAGATCACAGAAAGGTAACTCCAACACCACTACTGACTGTGTCCTATGGTATGTGTTGACCAACTTGCCCTATGGGATGAATGGTTTATCAAAACCCTGGTTGAGTGCCCCTGAGTTCAATCCTTGGTACAAAAAAAAAAAAAAAAAGACACTGATTCATAGATGATTCCCTATGGTTCAGACTTATAGTTGTGGGGCTTCTTGGTTCTCTTGTATGAGGTCTGGCTTAGCTTATTTCCTTTCTCTGTGGTTTGGCTCCCTTTGAGGGTACTGTCCTCTCCCCATCCTATCCATTTTTAGCAACCTCCAGGACCCAACTTAGACACCACTTCTGAGTAGTCTTCTCAGACCCCTCCAGAGAGAAGCAAGCCCTCTCTCCTCTGAGCTCTTGCAGCTCTTGGTTGTGAACCTCTGCCAGCTCACTTATCCCAGTGTGTTGTAATGTTATCCCAGTGTGTTGTAATGGCTGTTTACTGACCCCAGTGGTTAGTGAGGGGTCAGACTCCCCCACTACACACTGCTCCTTGAGGGCAAGAAGGCTATGCCTTATTCTTGGCTTGTAGTCACATGTGTCATAGAGCATGAAGAAGCTGACCAATAAAAACTGAAAAAAATCAATAGCAGGGTCAATGAATACACTCATGAATGCATGCATAAATCCCCAATGAAATGGAGAGACATTCCTAGACTCCAGAGGACACAAGCACCTTGGAATTCCTTCGCCTTACCTATCAGAATTACTGGTCTCACTCCTGAGTTACTCAGCAGGTTTTCAGGAACAATTACCGTTTCCCCTGCAGGAATGGGCCGAGGCTGTAAAATTCCAGTTAATGGGGTCTGGGGAACTGGGGCAGATAAAAGGGGTTCTGGAAAAAAAAAAGTTGTTTGACAAGAAGGATTAGACATAAAAGCTAAATGAAATACAAAGGAAAACAGTGCAATTTAAATACTTTTACTGTAGAAATTTTAGAAGTCTAATGTTTTATTAGTTTTTTAAATTAAAGTAATTCATGTATATTATATAAAATTAGAAGAAAAACAAAGGGAAGGATAAAAAAATCAACCATGATCATATGATCAGGCGATAACTATATTTAGTATTTTGGAGTTTTCCTTCCAATTGTTTTGTTCCACGTGCAATCTTTTGGATTATGTTTTGGATTTTTATCTACCCACCCGTCCAATTATTAAAGTCATATTTTTGCCCACTGTGTAAACTGTGAAAAGAACAGAGAAGGAAGGAAGGTACAAGGATAAATCATCATTAGTCAGTACTACTTAGAGACAAACCACAGGAACATGGTGGCATAATTCTTTGCAAATATAAGATATCTCTATTCAGTCTTTAAAACAACTGATTTAAATGAACTTAAAATTTTAAAGAATCCCACCTCTGTTTTAGGATCAATGTACCTAAAATGGTCTACTTGGTACTACAGGGTTGACAAATGTTTTTGAATGTTTAATTGTAGATAACAAATGGCCATGGATATCCAATGTTTGGATAGTAAGAGAGCGAGCCAGTTGGTTTTTCATTTTCTAGCTACAGATGGAACCATCTAGGCCAGAAGTAACAAGCATAGGACATAAAGAGAGCCGGATCACAGAAGGGTAACTCCAACACCACTACTGACTGTGCCCTATGGTATGTGTTGACCAACTTGCCCTATATTATGAATGGTTTATCAAAATCATGGGTTAAAAGTAAACCAGAAGGTGAATTAAAATCAGTAGTGATGGTACCTGTGTTTGTAGGGAAGGTAAACATAATGAGGACAAAATATTAGCTACGTTCAAGATCCTTACAAATTATTGAAATATGATTGATTAAAGAAATTAATCTTTAAGAGTTCAGGGAAAGAACAGGAGTCGAAGATACCTCTGCTGATTTAAAAGAAACTAAAACCCATCAGCTATTAAATTCTTACCAGGTCTTGAAAGAGGACGAATTGTAGGAACGGGTGTAACTAAACCAGGTTGGGGGACAGGTGATCCAGGGTACCATCCCCGGTGTCGTTTCTTTGGTGGTCCAGAAGTGAACATAGTAGCTGACGACAAAAAGAAAAGGCCTTGTCCTCAGCAATGTGGAAGAAAGAGTGCCAAAGTGACCTAGCATCTTTACTTTGCTTTACTCAGAAGGTCTAAGTCAGTCTGCTATAAGTAAAGATAAAATTAGAAAAAGCCACATTCATACCAACATCACACTAACAATACCTAACATTTGTATGTGGTTTTACAGTTTACTATCTTGTGCAGATTATTTCACAACCATGTGGAACTTTAGGTCAAGTACTGTTACAATCATTTTGTGGACAGAGGAAGGCAGGCTCAGATGTGCTTACACTTTAGTCAGGAAAAAAAAAAAACAAACTTGTTTTTTTTTTTTTTTTTAAATGCTTTCTTTTACTTCAGTTTCAACATTTACTTTCCAGTTAGACTCTTCCGTGTAGAATCACCAAGATGTTTCATTACTACTGTTCACACCAATCATAAACTTTCAAAATGCCGTACGACAAACAAAGCAAAAACTCTAATAGAGTGTGTACTGTCAGACAATTTATCATTCAAAAACCTACACCATGTGTGGTGGTACGTGCCTATAATCCCAGCAGTTCAGTAGGCTGAGACAGGAGGAATACAAGTTCGAGGCTGGTCTCAGCAACTTTGTGAGGCCCTCAGCAACTTGGCCAGACTTTCAGCAACATAGTGAGACTCTGTCTCAAAATAAAAAAATAAAAAGGAGTGGGGATGTAGCTCAGGGGTAAAGCATACCTGGGTTCAATCCCCAGTACCAAAAAAAAAAAAAAGAAGAAAGAAAGAAAGAAAGAAGGGAAAACAAAAACCTGTATCATTTCTACCATAATTAATTGCATCATTTCAAACCCTAAGATGGGTGTTGTACCTTGGTCTGCAGATGGGTAGCTAGGTCTTGGCGACAAGGAGTAGTTCCCTGGGCGGGCTGGAGTGGAGCTGGATGCACTGCTCTTCCCTCCATGGCTACTGTTCCCATTTGCAGCATCTGTAGAACAGGAGAGGCTCCTTTTAGAATAGAAGCCGGCAAGACACTGCTGCCTGTGAAGCTGCAAACACCTGATAGGTTTCCTGCTTAAGGATGTGAAGATTCAAGGAAACCTCACTGATAGGATTCAGCTCAGTGGCATAAAACCAGTGACAACCATCAGAGGGACACCATCATTAACATTAAACATCACACATGTCAATTAAGAGAACTGATTTAAAAAATGTCACCTAAAAATAATTTCCTAGGATATAAAGAGATCTTTGAGGGTCATTTTTTCAATGAAGTCTTTGGAGATGGTGGGTTGAAAGAAGGGAAGACTGTTATTTGTATTATTTTAATTTTGAATGATAGAAAATTTCAAACATATACAAAAGGAGAGAGAATAGTATGTAAACTTCTACATACCACCATCCAGCTTCAACATGTATCAACACACTGCCCACCTGGCTTCATTTAGATCCTCTACCTCCCTTCCCTGCACATACACACATACAGGCTCTGAATTATTTTGAAGCAACCCATTTATCATAAAATTTCATTCCATAAGTACTTCTGTATGTTCTGCTAAAAAATAACTCTTTAAAAACGTAACTATAATATTATTATGCTTAGAATTAACAGTGATGGATACTTTCTTAATATCATCAAGTATTTCATCAATATTCAAATTTATCCCAATTATCTTGAAAGAGCTTTTATAGCTGGCTTATTCAAATTGGGATTCAAAAAAGATCTACACATTTAAATTTATTTGATAAGACCCTTAAATTTCTTTTAATATATAGGATTCCCCTTCTTCTTTCATTCTTTTTTATTTTTTTAATCGTGGTGCTGGGGACTGAACCCAGGACCTTGTGAACGTAAGACAAGCACTCACTCTACCAACTGAGCTATATTCCCAGCCCCCTTCTTCTTCTTTTTTCTTTCTTATGATTAATTTTTTTCTTTCTGATAACCTAGTAGAATTTCCCATTTTCTGGATTTTGCTAATTGGCTGAACTTTCCTTTGTTCTCTGTATTTATTTCCAATAAACTAATTGTTAGATGTAGAGGCTTGATCAAGCTATATTCAATTTGGGTTGTTCTTTGGCAAAATAAGTACTACTATATACTTTCATTACGAAGCACATAATGGCCTCTGTTTGCAATATTAAGAGTGCTCTATGGGTTCCATAGTTGTCAGCCTAATTCTTGTGTTATAAAGTTGATCAGCAACTTTTTACTCTAATGGTTTTAGCAACCAAGATATTACTATTGATCCATGACTTCGTTGATTTTCTTCATGCAGTGAAAACCTGAATTCAGTTTGTTTCAAGCCTGTAATCAAATCAGAAAGTAGGTCCTGTAAGAGTTGTTGGGCTGGACTAGGAACATGAGTGGGCTATGTAATTTTTGATGCCTAAGTGTTGAAAACTTTCTAAAAGTGAAACTTTGTCTCCTCATTCTTCTTATACCATTTCTTCTCTTTAAACATTGGACTTTCTGGGATTCCATCCTTATTTCACAACCTGCTTCACACTACATCTCTCCTTGGCTGATGCTATTTACCCTGATGATTTTAACTGCATGTTGATGGCAGTGATTTCCCTCTCTGGGGGATTAAATGACTGTTGAACAGCCCCACTGGATCTCCCAGGAAACCCAGACTCGCCATGTTCACACAGTCTCCTCTTGGAGAACCTGTTCCTCCATCTGCATTCCGTCTCAGGTACACCATTTGCCTAGAAAGGTGGATGTCAGCTGAGATCCTTTCTCCTTTATGCTCACATTAATCACTCAAGACCTGCTGAATTTACTTCCTGAGTAGTTCTCCAATTTGTCTCTCCAACCTATTATCACCCAGGCCAAGGACTTCATCATTTCTCACTTTGACTATTAAAATGAACTTCAACTAATTTTCCTACTCCCTGAGGCCTTCTAACATGTTACTGCCCAAATGATTTAGCTCAAGTCGTTCCTTTGCTCCACAAGTTAGAGAGTAAAACCCAGGCTGCTTAGCCTGGTCTCCCAGGACTCTGTTTGCACACCACTAGCTAATCACTTGCCACTTTTCAAGTTGCACATTTTATGGTTCTAACAAGTCAAAACTGCTGGCAGATATCATATGATCATGCTATTTTTTCCCCTTTTCATTCTCTTTTCCCTTTAATCTTTGTTTCTGCTGTTCCCTGAATTTGAAATGTCTTCCTTCTACTCCTTGGTACAGTTTATATCTTCTCACTGTGAAACACTAAGTTCCTCCAAGAACTCATTCTTGATTAGTTCTTAAAATGCTGGGCTTCAGCACATTGAAAATATCTTATATAGGCCCATTTCCCTTACTAGGTTACAAGGACATTTGTGGCAAGGCATTATGCCTTGTTTGTTTTCATATCCTCAGTTCTTAGGTGCCCAAGAAATGTTTGTTGAACAGAATCAAATTCCAGTATCTCTTCTGTGTGCCAAATGTCATTCTGACTCTTCTGGATGGAGCACTGAGAACACAAAGCTTTGTAAAATATTACATTATTATAGACAACCCCACTTCTGTCTTTAAGTGGCAGTTGGAAGCAGCTTCTGTTTTCTTCTATCAATCTGTCAATTAAATTTCACACAAGTCTTTTAGAGACTATGTATTTGCCAAAGAAATATAAGTAAGGAAAACATCACCTGCAGCATAAGTCTTCCCTACAACCTGCAAAGATAAAGCCAGTGGTTTCACAACATTCTTATTCCGGGTCAGGTCCTGAGCGCCACTTAAATTGATTGCAGAATTAGCTGGACTGAGAACCGGCGAATCTTTAAAATGAAAGAGGTTGTTTAAATTAGCAACCATTTATATGTGCAGGAATGAAGTTACTTCAATAAGGGTGAATTGAGAAAAAAGCAGATTATAGGATTTCAGATCTTTCCTTGAACTATTCAAAAATTTTGGAATAATAGTTTCTCTATATTCAGGCTTAATTATTTTTTATTCAATGAACACTTACTACAAGTCACTATGAGCTGGGTACTATTCTAAGTACTTCAAGCATATTAATTCATTAAATCCCTATAACAACTCTATGAATTGGTTAACATTACAAAACGTTCAGAAATTGAAGATAGCTCAAGGTTTTCACATCTTAACAGAGTGAGTATTATTACCTTTAGGTAGCAGAAGTCAGTCAAGGTCAGATGCTCTACTATCATTAGGTTCCATATCAAAACTATCTTCGTACTTCTCTCAAAACTATGTTATAATGAGATACATTTGTCTCTGTTAAGATGAGTTTTTAATTTGAAAAGTGTCACACAAAGTAACTCATTGCAATCTAGGAAAAATATTTTTCTCTGAAGGAAAGTTACTTTAGTTTTTTGAATAAACTAGAATTATTTATCGCAATAGTAGGTATATCCAGAAGAAAGCTTTTATTTGGATTCAGAAAATAATTTATCACAGAAAAACTGTCTATTTCATAGACAAGTTATGAGAGTGAGAAAGACTCAAGCCAACTGGAGATTTCCTTAATAAGTAAAGACAAGTCCCTGACGTTACTCTGGCAGAACAGCTAGATCAATTAACCCAGTATAATGTCCAAAGGGACTGTTTAAATATTCTGGGAGTCTGAAAAACAAAGTGCTCTAAGAACAGGGTACTGATGGTGCTACATTAGAAGTTACAAAAAAATTATTATTAGTAGTAGTAGGGATTGAATTAGGGGCACTCTACCACTGAGCTACATCCCCAGTCCTTTATTTTTAACTTTGAGACAGGGTCTCTCTAAGTTGCTGAGAGTCTTGCTAAACTGCCAAGGCCTTAAATTTATAATCCTCCTGCCTTAGGCTTCCAAGTCATTGAGATTACAAGTGTGCACCACTGCACCTGGCTAAAAATATTATTTTTTATACTACAACATATCTGACTCATCTTTTCGTAAGAACTGAGAAGTAGGAAATGGTCCTCTGTTGGCTCAGAAGAGTTAATGTGCCTCTCTGAGGGAGCAACTTAACAGAGGGAAAGCTTTAAGGTCCACTGAAAGAACAGTGGCTACTAAGTACATATACAACATTACAAAGTAGCAGGAGGCTGAACATGGTCCCAATTTTCCACATCTTAACAGATGTTTAAAGGACAGGAATCCCAGGCAAGATGGCTATGCTGTTACACAGCTGGTCAGTATGTTTCAGGCCACAATCATGTTGTTTGGAATAAGACTGGTAGCTTATTATACTAGTTTATATCTACAATTTTAGTAAAATCCTAACTAATAGTGCAAGTAAACATATAAGCAAAATCCAGTTGATGAATTATTAAGTGTGGTACTATAGTTTGAATATGAAGTGTCCCCAAAAGAGCTCATGTGTCAGGCAATCCAGGAATACTTGGAGGAAAATTATTAGATTACCTAATCAGTGGATTAATCCATTGATGTATTAATAATCTGAATAGATTACTAGGTGGTAATTGTAGTCAGGTGGGGCAAGGCTAGAGAAGTAGTAGGTTACTAGGGGCATGGCCTTGGGAATTATATTTTGTCCCTGACTTCTATCTCTCTGTTTTAACAATGATAACATAAAATGTTGATATGAAGAAATAAATATGAATAGTTGGAAAAATCCTGAAAAATAAGAGAAAGAGGGAGACTAGTATGATGGTATGATATAAAAACCTTAGTGAATAAAACATTATGGTCTTGGTGCACTGGCATGCAAACAAAATAGTGGAAAATAACCCCAGTAAGAAATAGACATAAATACACAAGAGAATTTAGTGTAAGATAAAGAAAAATACTCATATCAGCAAACAACACTCAACGAATTGTGTTGAGACATGTGGGTATATAGAAAAATAGTTGCATATACATGTTAGACCAAGTACCACACAAAATCAAATGGATCAAAAATACAAATTTTAAAGTTGAAAATACAAGAATAAAAGGAAAAAATATGGGAGATTTAATTGTCACCTAAATATGGAAAAGGTCAAATTATTGCTCATAATGCAGAAGCCATAAAGAAAATTAATAAATTCAACTACTCAAAAATTAAAAGATTCTGCATGGCAAAACACATGATAACCAGGCAAATACTAACCAGAGAATTCAGGAAAAAACACTTCCTGAGATTAGTCACACTAGTATCAGAAAAAAACAGACTTTAAGCAAAACTATATTGGAAAAAAAGAAGGACCTTTTACAATGATAAAAGAGTTGATCCACAAGGAAGATAATTATAAACATATATGCAACTACTAACAGACACAAACACTTGAAGCAAAATTTGACAGAATTAGAGGGAAAACAGCTGTTTAATAATAGTTGGAGATTTCAATACCCTGCTTTCAATAATTGATAGAACAACCAGAGAGATTAGCAACAAAGAAACAGAAGAGTTGAATGACACAGTAAACCAATTGGACCTAATCGACACCAACAGAACATTCCTCCAACAAAAGCAAAATACATAAAAATTACATATTCTTTTCCAGTATACAGGACTGGTTCTCCAGGATAGACCAGATGTTAGACAAAAAACAAGTTTCAATTAACTTCAAGGAACTAAAATCACATGAAATACATTTTCTGACTTCAATAGAATCCAGAGACTGACCAATAATGAAAGGAAATTTGAAAAATTTATAAATGTGTCAAAATTAAAGATATTCCTAAATAACCAACACATGAAAGAAATCACAAAGTAAATCAGGTATCACTTCAACATAAATGAAAATGAAACACAACTCCAAAGAGTTTATGTGATGCCACTTAAGAAGGAGAATTATTCCTCAGTATCCACAGGAGATTGGTTCCAGGACCCTATGAATACCAAAAGCTGCAGGTGCTCAATTCCTTTATACAAAATGGTACAGTATTTGCATATAATTTTCATACACCTCCTGTATTCTTTCAGTCATCTCTATATTACTTTAATACCTAATACAATGTAAACGGGATGTAAATAGTTGTTAAGCTATATTGTTTGGGGAGAAATGAGTGGTCACTTTAAATACAAATAATTTTTTTTCCAAGTATGTTTGATCCCCTAAGCAACTGAAGATGTGGATGCAGAACAGGCAGATGTGGAACCTGTGGATATGGGGACCTGTGGACATGAACAGCCAACTGTACTGAGAGGGAAATATATGGCTATAAATGCCTATATTTGGAAAAAAAAAACAGAAAGAGCTCAAATAAATAACCTTAAGAAACTAGAAAAAGAAGAGCAAATTAAACCCAAAGACAACAGAATAAAAGAAATAATACATATTGAAGTAAAAATGAATGAAGTAAGAAATAGACAACTGAAAATCAACAAACTTAATGTTTGCTAAGTGGTAGCTAGGATGACCAAGAAAAAAAGAGAAGATGCAAATTACTAAAATCACATAAAAATAAACAAATAAAATAAAAAGGTATTGTGTCTACCTACAACTAAAATAATAATAATAACAATAATATTAAAAGAATAAAAGGAGTGGCATCACTAGCAATCTTACAGAAAAAAAAAAGAATTGCTATGAACAACTGTATGTCATTTTTAGGGCCTGAACTGTACTGCCCCCAAATTTGTATGTTGAGGCCCTTACCTCCAAACCTTAGAATGTGACTAGATCTGTAAATAGGGCCTTTAAAGAGGTTATTAAGGTTAAATACAGTCATAGAGCAGGGCTCTAATCCAATATACTGATGTCCTTACAAGGAGAGAAAGAGACACCCAGATGCCCATGCACAGCGGACAGACCACTTGAGGACACAGCAAGAAGATGGCCATCTGCAAGCCATGGGGAGAGGTCTCAGAAGAAACCAACTCGGCCAGCACCTCAGTTTTGGACTTCTAACCTCTAGGACTATGAAAAAATAAATTTATGTCAGTGCCATTTTGTTATATCAACCCTAATTCACTAATACTGTCATCAAATTAGATAATTAGGTTACAAATGAATAAATTTCTAGGACAGATTGATTCAAGAAGAGAAAAAAATCTGAACATATTTCTGACAAGTAAAGAGACTGAATTGGCTAATAGCAAAAAACAATATCCTACAACTAACCACACACACACACACACACAAAAAAAAA